CTCCTGTGAGCTTCGTTCTTGCTCTGTTTGCTCACTCCTGTGAGCTGGGTTGCTTGATCCGGAGCTCGCTCACTCGCTAGTACGTGCTCTTTGTAGTAGATCTTCAATCGATCGTAACTCAATGAGTTCTTGCTGTTTGGAGAAGGTTCAAGTATGTAGATGGTGTAGTTAGTGATGATCTTTCATGTGGTACAAACTGTTCTGGCTGATTCGGTTGTCTTCTGGACCACCAATCACTCCGGTGTAGCTCAATGGGAATTCGTGATTGATGCGGAATTTCGCCTGTTGAGCTGTTTTGGTAGCCCTTATAGTGAGGCTCCGGCACTGTCTGCCTGCACCGTTTGATGAACTGTTTACCTTATAGCATGGGCTGTATAGTAATAGGATTGACTTGATATCGATGTCGCCATTGGCGAAGTCAGTATCTCGAATTCGAGATGAACGCCACAAGTTGCCAGCACCCATCTACAAGAGGTGCAAACCAAGGTCCACATCAAGCAAGCACACATTCATGTACAACAAGTCACAGCCATTCGATTCCAAAGAAGAGGAGGCCGTGATGAAGGAGAAGCTTCCCCAGCTGGGAAGAAGAGGATTCCATTCCTCTGGAAAAACAACAGCAGGACATCCAACACTTCTTGGACATCCAACAAGAGAGACAGCTCACGTTCCATTCAATGGACAACAAGCTGAATCCAGATAGCTACCAAGCTATTGCACAGACTCATGCTCACTGATTTCCAAATCCAGTATCAAGCCTGAATGGATTGATGTTTCCACACATCATTGGCGATTGAGACCATGGCATATCGATGTCCAGTTCAGTCTACACGCCAGTCAAGAGCACAGTTTGATCTACGAGAATGCAGCCGGAACTTCCTAGTTTCCAGCTACCGCAATACCAAGTGACCGGAACTTCCAGTCCACGGTTAACAAGTGATCGGAACTTCCCAGTTTCGAATACAGCAACATCAAGTGACGACCAACCGCCACAGCAAGTCATACAGGAAGTGGCAACACTCACAGGATGGTAGCCACAGTGCTTTTCATGACGATACTGTCCACATGTCACATTGACTTGTACAGATTTGTCCACAGCTATGGATGACAGCTTCTCGCCACCAAGCGGATGTCCGAGCAACCTAGCAAGTTGTCTCTCGACCAACAACTGTTCCTTATTGAGCAACCATCATTACATTAATTATTCGTTCCACGGTATCCTTATGGAACCGTGCAGGAGTGTGTTGGAGGTTGTATTACAGACACCTCAATACAAATTAGTCGTTTATCCCAATCTAGTTTATAGGGGATATCTATATCTATTCTCTGTTACATACATGGGGAGTTTAACTGACCTATATGGTCACCCCCTTCACTATATCCTTTGAAGTTGAATCAATCCCAGAAAACATGGAGAAAGAATCACTTCTTGGAAATAGTTAACAGTAAAACAGTATTTTACCTTTACTAAGCTGCAGTATTACTAGCAAACAACACTGAAAAGCAAAAGGCCATCTCGAGTTACTACTACCGACCGTAAATCAAGTCAAAGTGTATTGACTTCAGGTGAAAGCTTTGAGTTAACACCTGCAACAGAGGAGAGGTGCGAAGAATCAGCCTCTAGCCACACTATCAGAGCATCGAAAAGCCTCTAACAGGAAAGAGGTGCTTGCGCGGGATTCCCGTTGTCGCCGATACATACTGGACAAGTGACTTCCGGCCGGAGTACACGGAAACCAAGAGTATCAGCAGATCAAGCACGTTGAACTGAACAGGTGTCAACGCGGAAGCAAGGAAATCCGGCTCTTATTCAAGGAGTTGAAGCGGATTACGTCATCGCGCGAGATTTCGATCCATCTCATCACAACGAGCAGAAGTCATCGAACGGGGATCAAGATAGATCCTGACACAGACGTTGCAAGCAAGAGGTCCCATACATGAATCGATAGAGGACATCTAGCCGCATCTCTGAGTATCAGTGCAAGCTTCTAACTCCGCAAATTGAGTGAGATAGGTTGATTCGAGTGATACAGTGCTACTGTGAAGAGAAACACAAAAATCCCGGTAAACCACACGGAGTCCCAAAACTCCATCGTTTGCCTGTTTCGAGTGCTCAAACTCACACCGTGTACTCATCTAAGTATACGAAGGCCATCTGCAGAAGAACAGAGGCAACCAAGGACCAACAGAGGAGCTCGCTACTACCCAAGGATCCATACCACGTTTTACGTGAGCTGTCAAAGACAGAGGCTATCCAGCCACAAACAGGTGCACCAAGAGTGACCAAAAGAAGGCTATCCAGCCAACAAGAAGCTTTTACAGGCAACTACAAGAGTAGTGCCCGTCGTGAGATCCTTCCTGCAGGAGTATCCACACAAGAACACAAGCTAGTTCCAAGGAACAAGCAAGCACAAGAGTGCATTACCACACCAGCAAGACCATGAGATTCCAAGGAAGAGGTGGTCGCGGTGGAGGAAGATACCCTTCTAGGGGGGGGGTAGGGGATTCAATTCCTCAGGAAGAAGCCATCAAGGAAGAGGCAACAGCTACAGGAACCAGAACAAGAGTCCCAAGCGTCAGTTCCTCTTCCATCCAAATGGACAGGCTGACACCAGGTATTATCCTTTTGAGGAGACCCTGACACACATTGTCCAGGACCTAAGGATCAAACCTGAGTGGAATGATGTGCCACTGGCTTCATTGGCCATTGAGACCATGACAAGTCAGGCACCAACAAAACCGACCAAGCCTACACTTCAGACATCCCTTACTGATCCCAAAGCCCAAGAATACGATGCTTTGGAACTCAGCGAGTACAAGGCAAAGTCATCCATTTATGACAAGTCGACTCGATCCTATGAGAACATTCTCAAGACAGGTGCAACCACCATCCAGGTGACATACTGTACCGACGCCATGAAGTCCAAGCTTAGAGGTCTAGGAGACTACGAGGATGCAGTCAAGCTGGATCCCATTGAGTTGCTCAAGAGGATTAGATTGATAGTGATGCAAGGCTCAACCAAAGAGTTCCCATTGCTACAATTCATCAAGACCATCCAACGTGGCTTGTTCCCAAAGCAAGGAGACCATGACAGAGTTGACTTCTACTTGAGAAAGGTCGACAGCGACGTGGATCAAGTGTATGACCTGGTCGGAATGGAGTTCATTGATGCCAGGACTATCGGATTACCTGAATACCAGGCCGCATCCGGTCACGACGCCCAAGAAAAGGTGCTAGTGACGGAAAGGGCTAGGTTGAAAGCAACCGTAGGCTACCATGGGCTACAGGAAGGACGATACGGGGACTACCAGAAGACCGTTGAGGCAGCCTATGCCATGGATGGGTCAATCCAGTTTCCTTCTACCCTGGATCATCTCAGGGAGACTTTGTCCAATGACAGGTTCAAGCCAAGCAAAGAATGGTTGGAACAGCGGAAGGGCAGGGAACGGAAACCATATTCCAATCCCAAGCCACCTCCTTTTGATCCCAAGAAGATGAAGGAAGGGCTCCCAGCTGCTGTCTTCTACACAGTGAGCCTATGTGCGTGGTTTACTATACTTTATTAGACACCAGCGACTTCCTCAGAAAACATTCGTGGCCACTCAACCATGTCACGCATGTGATAATCCATTCCCTCCAAGACAGTACCTGAATTGATGAAAGCAACCCCCCCACGTCTCGTTTCATTGAGGTCGAAGATATCATTGATATCACGAGCAACCTGGCGCATCATACGGAAGACTCCTACAACGTCCATCACACGGCGGAAAGCCTCTTCGCCTAGGATGTCACGAAGGCTCTGGTTCCCACCACCAATCTCGCCACGATCATCAAAGCCTCTTTCACGTGGGAAGAAAGTAATGTTGATGCCGTACTCGTCGGAAAAGTTCGCTTTGACATGGTTGTCGACTTTGCTAATCCAGTCGACTACAGGATCCAACACCATGGCTTTGCAGTCAGCGCTTGGAATCATATTGTTGAACTGTTCATCTTCGAATTCATCAAGTTTTTCATAACCCGTCGCGGTAACATCCATGAAGCGTTTCATACTTACCGCAACCATACCAATATGACGATGGACACGCCGGACCTGAGGAAGGTGAAGGTCCTCATCATGGACTCCATCATTCCAGTTCATTTGGACATTGTCAACATCGAAGAACCCCTCCGCAACGACATTGTTGTTGTCAGCAATCGTGTAGAGTTGTCCGTTCTGCATTTGGTTCTTCTTCTTCCGTATTTTGGTCCAAGCAGGTCCAATGTCAAATTTATGAGCAGATAGACCAGCGAGGACACAGTGGCGTAAGGAAACAATCTCAACGAGAGACGTTTCATATTGTTTTGACCACAGCGTGGAAGTGGGACATCACGATTGTACTCGACACAATCAACGGCTCAACAGAAACACGACTCTTTCTACAGGTAGTCGAAAAGCCTCAACCATTTCTCTTTCAAGGAGCATGGACATTCCATGGATTCACAATCTGTTAGACTCCACAACAATCACGTCACAAAAAGAAGCACGACTGTTTCTATCCTAGGTCGAAGGAAGTTTCTCGTTCTTCAACACACTGGGCATCACGGTGGACTCCAAAACAATCAAGGGTGTTTCCTTACATTGATTCCAATCCAACAAGTAGAACTCCAGAACTTATGAAGACAGCCACAAATCTACACTTCTTACAGAAAGACACTGAAACTGAACTATAATGGCGTTTTATCTACCTACCCAACAGATGGTCAAGTCAGTTTCAGGGACTCGGAGATCCGGGAGACATACGATTTGATCTACGTTCTCGAGCTGCAAGGTAAACTTCATAAACAACATCGTCCAAAACCAACGCGTTGTACACATTCAATCGCCCAGCCCGAAAGACTTGCACGTCACCCAAGATATAAACAGTTGTGCTGATTACATGCTTGATTGCGAAAGTAGTCTCGAGTGCATCCGCGTGATAATGAGCATCTCCCACGGGAAGTAAGGGAACAAGGAAAGGGTTCACCTCGTGATTCTGGTAATCATCAGGGAGTGGGTTTTGGTCAGTGAAGGACTCCATGTATAGCTGAAAAGCATTAGTGTCGCCATTGACTCGGGAGCCATGCAATTACCAAGGTAGAAAGAGAGAGCTCTTTCGCCGCGACTGCAATTGAGCGCCTCCAACGTTGCTGCGAACGCAGTGAAGTGCAAAAAGAAATAGACAAGTTTCTTTACCAGCCAGTAGTCACCTTCAAAGATGGCGTCGACTGACACCTCATAGTTGGATGCATTGATACCATGAGGTGATTCATTAAAAAACTCGCATAGGAAAAGGCCAAGGTGATTGATGTCCACAACACCAAAAACATCACGCATCAGTCTGACAGTGCGGGGCTCGACTCCCAGAAAAATCAGGAGGTAATGAATCATTGGCGTATTGTTTTGGTCCATGGTCGATTGGTTTTTGTCTCTCTGTGGATCAAAAAGGGTGCTATCTGGGCTTTTTCGATTCGATTTTGTGGCTTCAAAGAGACTTTGAGCTCGACTACTGCCACCCGATGACAAACGATGTCAGTAAGGGACGTTTCTTTTTTAAATACTGGAGCGTGGAAGTTGGGTGTGACTCCAACAAAAAGAACCAGAGTGGAAGTGGGACATCACGATTGTACTCGAAAACAATCAACTCACAACAGAAAACACGACTCTTTCTACCGGTATTGTCCTTGGTCGAAAACTTTCAACTCAAGTTCTAATACATTTCAAAGCTACTTTGCTTTTGCTAAATACGAAGACGGTTGTGGCAGACCAGCGTGTGCCCTGGGGGTGCGCTTGTTTGGATCCTGGGCAAGAGAATACCAAAGGTGACTTCCACTTGAGGAAACGGGAGTACTCTTTCAAGGGATGAAACAGGGACAGAGTCTCCCATCGCAGTACCCCATCTCAGATACTGGTCACCAAAGCATCTCTCCTGTGAATCCGGCATGATTTCCTTGATTTGGTGCACGGCAAGCTCGTCAGAGGCACCTGTCTTCTTCACAGCCACAAAAACAAGAGTCTGTTTCATAGACCCTACCATCCTATTCACTATCAAAACCGAAAGCACATTTCGCTGTGTCAGAATCGCCTCGACCACACCAAGTGCCTCGTACCTACGAACGCTGCGCCTCTGCGACGGGATACAGCTTACAATTCAGCTTTACCGCTTTACAATTAGCAGGCTTATTCTAGAAAATAATCAATAACTGCTCACTTATTTGGAAATACAAACTTTACATCTCTTAGATCCTTAGACTAGTCAATGCACAATGGTATTGTCGCATGGTAGCATGCGAGGTTATGAGATGTTACTCATTCTTATTCTTATATGTCTATTGGATTCGCTCGCAAGCAATCCCCTCTCATTTCCTGTCGTCGATCGAAATCGCGATGACGATCCGGCCTTGGATTCGCTCGTAAGCAATCCCCTTGTCAATCCCCTTGTTCCCCTTGTCAATCCCCTTGTTGTTGTTGATTCGCTCGTCAGCAATCGCAACCTATTCCATCCTTTTAACGATGGACTCCTACAGGAGTCCACCTTTTATCCTGTCGTCGATCGAAATCACGATGAGGATTCTTTTAACGATGGACTCCTACAGGAGTCCACCTTTTATCCTGTCGTCGATCGAAATCGCGATGAGGACCCTATTATCTTGATCGCAGCAGCAGCCACTACTGGTACTGCACGTTCGACTACCACTGTTATCTCTATCACCGGTAGAGCCTTGCATCATCTCCGTCGCGATCGATCGATCCGAGTTAACAGAGTTAACAGAATTCATCGAAAAATGAGCTCCGTCTGCAATGAGGGTCGGCCTGTGAGTCATGCATTGAGTCATGCTTTACTCGTTTCGAATTACCTGAGCTTAAGTCTTTACCTGAGTCATGCTTCAGTTTCTCACTTTTTCATTAACTCGACGGAGACGCATTCCTACGAGAACAACAACACGAGCGATCGATCGCTCCGTGTTGATTTGACAGTTGTCATTGGACTCTATCTACCTAGGACTGGGATTGGTCGTTCGAATGAAGAAGGAGACTGGCTTGCAGTCAACTGGCTTGCAGTTGGTCGTTTGAATTCAAACGACCTGCGAGCGAATCCCTCGAGCTCGAAGTCGGCGAAGAATACATCAATTCCATATCCAGCTCATAAATTCCAGCTTCGATTGACTCAATTGACTGGCTATCCACCGCGCTCCTGCTCCTCCTCTTGTTGCCGGTCCTGTTGGCGCTCCTTCCACTGTTGCCATTATTGCCATTGCCACTGTCGCTCCTCTCTTGTTGATTCTCACTTGATGGACCTTGACGACGCTTCCTCTGCCTCAGCATCTTCATCTTCAACAGCAGCGCCAGCATCAGCATCCTTGTTC